AGCAACTATATAGGGAAACCAAAGTACTTAACATTAAGTCCTTCAACTAGAGTTTAGTCAGAACAAAAACGTAGATAATTCCAAAGGGCTTTTGTACCAAATCTACATATTATTCAAAACGAACGGGACAAATTTGATGAGTCTAGCCTCAGAGTAGCCTGGTGTTACTTATATAAACATAAAGGAAGTATATTTTGTGTTACGAGTGTGTATGGTCGAACAAATACTAGTCAGGCCTCTAAATCATTAGGAATATAAAAATCAAAACATAATATAGCGAAATATAGAAAAAATTTGAACGAAATCAAAAGAAAACTCAAAGAACCTTCAAGAACCTTTCAAAAAGTTTATTTGAGAAAATTCCACATCAGGTAGAATTCTTCAGTTTCGAAAGATTTTGAATTGACGTATTTGAAAAGATGATCATTGGTGCTATCATTTCAAATTATTTTGTTTTAGAATGTATATATACAAAATTTCAAGCGCAGAATGATTTCGGGGTTTAATTGACATTTGAATAATAGTTATTTCTACAAAATATAGTTGTTAACCGCACGTAGTTTATGTTTTATTTCTGTGCAGTACAAAACTTGAACCATTAGGTATAACTATTGTTTCCGAGAAAAAATGTTTCATCATCAGCGGACTTGTTATGCCATCAAAACGTAACCCCAGAAATCGTATTCTGTGACCCCACGAAGGCGAGGGTCAACTCTTGCCTCTAATAGTTCCGGTTTCTTCAAAGGCATATGACGAGACATGAGACCAGTTGTTCAACTTCAACAATAGTTTCGAGTTACATGTGTGTGTACCTACGTACGTAATAAGCGGTAAAGGATAATGGGATGTTACTCTTCATGAAAAATTCAGCTAAAATTATTATTTAAATTGCTCTATTGTTGTCATTTGAATTCTCTGAAATTGTAATCGAGATTTGATGGTAGGTAATTGTCGAAAGAAGTTAATCATTGGGCTGAATCCAGTAACCAGAAACAATTATGATCTTTTTTTAATGTTTTTAATACACCGAATTTTGTCATTCGTTTTGTGTATGTAATTAATTTTCATTGTTTTTATATAATTTGTTCAAAGACTTTAACTTGATATAATTTAGCAGAAAGTTTGCTGAAATTTGATAACTTCAAAACTGAAAACCCAAACATAACGCATTCATGATTCAGCACCAGACAGCTATGTTCCGACCCGCCATAGGTCTTATCAGTGGCGCTAAGCTGGACAACAGCTAGAGTCAATTGTCCTTAAAGGACACGCCTGAGTAAGTAAAAGCGATGGCTTCTCCCCTTACGAAGGCGCCATCTATAGGATCGACAGATAATTTCATTTTTGATATTCGGGGATTAAGTTCTCTGTCGATCCCATAGATGGCGTTTTCGTAAGGAGAGATGCTATCGCCTTCACTTAAATTCCTCAAGTTATGGCTTGATTAAATGAATTGTGCAATCATGTTTCGTGAGATCTACAAATGTATGTTCGAGATGATCAATTAATATATGGAATTTGTATTGCCAAATTGTATTTAATAAAGAAACATTTATTTATAAATCTACAATTATTCGACACATTCGTGCAAAGCATCTATAACTGTATTGATATCTAACATCTTTAGTGCGATGTTAGCACTTCACAGGAATGCAGAAAAACTGATTATTGATATACATATAGATATAGAAATATAGTAACATGAGATATAGATGTAAGGTGTAAGTCTTGGCAAATCTTGAATTATTTGTTACGCAGACTGAAAACAACGAAACCGTTGTGAATAATAATGAATTAGACATTGAAAATCTCCGGAATATAAAACTAAACATGCACTAACAATAATATACGAGGAGCCTTCAAATATTTGATTTGAGACAAGAGTAAAGTACTCTTATTTTGAAAAATTTCGGGAAATGTTATTTAAAAAAGTAGTCCAGCATTGAAAAATACATCTAGATTTGAAGTCATGGCCATCTAAGTGAAGTTTGATTTTTTTTCCATTTTTTAATAAATGGGAGTACGAATAAAATTTTTGCTAAAAATATAAATAGACAGCATCCTGTATACGACGGTTTATTTCAAAAGCCTGCAATATTACAAATTACACAACTATGGTGTTAACCACGGTCAATTTTTTTTGAAGAGTAAAATAATTTTCAAAGTTTTTTTTTTCGTTGACACCGAAAATTACTCAAAATTATACAGTATTGTAACAAGAGCATTCAATAATATCAAATCACAAAACATCAAAATAAAATAGGAATTTTGGAACAAACTCATTGATTTTCTGGAGATTATTTTGGAGAATTATTTTGAACAAGAAAATCTCCAGAAAATCAATGAGTCAATATAAAAATACACCTTAACTCACCTAATAACTGTTAGATTCAAACCATAACGTCAGAATATCATAATTAGTGTTCTTAATTTTTGTAACAAATAGCTCAAAAATAAACAGTTCACAAGATAAAACCTGTTCAGCCTAATTCTACGGATTTTGGAAATTTTTACTTGGAAGTTTCAGTTGGGGTTCTAGAAAGTGCATGTTTGTAAAAATGCAATAAAATTGCTATCAAAAATGAACACATTGAAGAAAATGTCAGTTGGAAATTTGCTCCTTGTTTGATTCAATAAAATCATAAGTGATAGATGTTCTAAAATATTTGTATCATTTGCAAGACAATTCTCTATGTTCATTGTTATCTACTGATAACTTTCGAAAAGTTTATCTTTCTCGAAATGTTTTCCTCTATTATCACAGAGCTGATTGAGACACAACCCTTTCCATTCAATATTCCGGTATATGTGTATTATCATAAACTGTTCGAAGGTTGAAATCTCGATATAGTCAGCATTTCACTGTATTTATTCGTCTATTGTCTGAGAATTTACCTAAAATGGTACAGCGTTCGAAAAAAAAACAACGCTGGCATTTCAATGACGCTGGTGATAAAAACGTCATCGGACTTCGAATCCAGTTCAGTCCGCAGGCAGGGTAAGGCCTTCTCGACCATATGGCATGTCTCACAATGATGGAAAAAGGAATGAAATCCATGAATACTTGAATTGTATTCAGTGAATGAGCAATTATTTACCAGCGTTGCAATCGTATTTCGAATTGAATCTCGATCTGGATTTACATATGTGACGTAATTATTACTGAAAATAGGCGACGTGGTGAACTTATTTGACCATTATCATGAACCAGTTGATTTCGTTTAAATGTCAAGATATGTACATGGTAGGCAAAATTTGAACTTTAAAAAATTTTGCCCTTTCCAATAGTTTTCATTACAAAATTCAAATGAACAAAAACTATTTTCGAAAGGTAGATAACACAAACGTGGAATCATGCGAAATTATTCTTTTTCAATTCTTTATTATCTCTTAAGATGAAAACGAAAGCTTCTAGTTTATACTACTCATTTTTGAGTATTCATCAAATACAGAATCAAGTCTATACTCTGTCCAACCAAGAAACGGAGTGTTCCAAAACATTATCATGCCTAGTGCACGTGATCTCCCAGACAAGGCTGCTTGTACAAAGTCGCACTAAAGAAAGACAGAAATTTTATTTTTTTTAATATGCGGCTGGCTTTAGACATTTTTTTAAGTGGAGTGTAGGAACACAAATTAGCAGTTTCTTCAGCCGTATCAGTATTTGACATTTTTAAAATTCAAAACTTCAAAATACCGTATATGTACACCTCATAGGCGTTAAAACGTAACTGACCATTCCGACACTGTAACGATATACATGAAACAATGAATTCCGCTTTAATCACGCATCTGTCTTTGTTTGTGTTGTTTTTTTTGTTGTAAGGATATATATAGTTCAGTTACGGAGGTTGCCTATCAGTCTGTTTAATTCATGATGAAAACTGATTTTTGCACTAAATGACGTTGCACCCAATTTTACATAAAATCCGATTCATTACTTTTAGACTAAGACTATGTGATATGTAGATTTTATTACTTATTACTTGTCTAAAGTTTCACTGCTGAACCTTGTATGGTTAAGAAAACAATAAAGAATGATTGATTCAAATGTATTGCATGGTATTTTAGGATTACTAGGTAATTACAATAATTTATTTATTATTGTAATTAGTATTCCTCCCAAACTCTTTGAATCACTCTTAATGAAACTTTTGTTTTCATTATGTCAATAAAGAACTAAAGGCATTTTTTATTCTATAAGTGATCAATATACAATCAATAAAATATAATACATGTGCACGATTTCTTGAAAAGAATTAGGTATGTATGAATTTTGAACAACCAATGTCATTCTCAAAAAGAAAAAATACATTGAGATTTTTCAAACGAATACAAAAACAATTTATGGAACAAACTTATCAGATAAGATAACTTATTTAATTTAAAAAAAAATAACTACAGGGACTTGAAATAGGAATGATGTAATGAATGGTTCAAATGGTTGGTGTGAGATGTCAAAAATATACAACAAATAAAAAAGTAAAAATTAATATTTGATGATATTTCAATTATTGTTTGTATCCATCATTGTTGTCGGGTGATACCTGCCGTAGTCCTAATACTTCCAAACTAATAATTATAGTTCACTGTGGCACTTTTCTCTCTTTCTATCTTCTCTCCTCTCTCTCTCTCTCTCTCTCTTTCTCTCTATCTCTCTCTCTCTCTCTCTCACACACACACACACACACAGTTTTCTGGTTTAGTGCACCGTAGCTCGTTTCCTTTGATAATAATAATAATAATAATGTTTATTTGCATAATGAAATAAAATATCACAAAACCAATACACATGCAAAAAAACAAATAAACAGAAGAATCGCAGAAGCAGTTCAAACTGCTTGTACGTGATATAATGACACATCCGGGTAAAATCATATTTGGGTTTTTTGATAAATCACATGTTGGGTAAATTTCACACTTCGGTAAATGATATAATCAGGAGGTACTCTTTTTTCATTTAGTAACTACTTGAAGTAACGAATTCCTTTCTGTTTCAGATGTACCTGCGAGGAGGGTTACACGGGCCAAAATTGCGAAAGCGAGTACATCCCGTGCGAGCCGAGCCCGTGCCTGAACGGAGGCCAATGTCGGCAGAGAGACAAACACACCTACACCTGCGATTGTCCGTCCGGTAAGTTCACTTTCTTTCTTTCTTTGTTATCGTCGATCGACGGAAGATTCGAATGATTCTCCAAATCTCCAAGAATATTTCAATCCGCACGCTCCAGCGGTGCGTATTAAAGGTTAAACAGACGATTTTCGGAGAAATTTCGATTTGTTACAGAGAACCGGTCGCTCTATAGGTAGTTGAAAAATTACCGAACCTTAAGAGCGTGGATGTTTTATTGAACTAGTATCGGGTCAATGTATCTTTATATCTCATTTGTTCGAAAGTATGAGGCGAATGATATTACATAAAAATATATAAATATATTTTTCGGTAGTAGGTAGTTAATAATATTCTGTTGAAACTACGAGGGATGCCTTTTAGATTTTCTTCAAACGACCAATAGGTGGCGCTATGGAAATGTACCAAAATGATATTAGTATTGCTGCATAACAGTGAATATTTGAATTGAAGAAGATCGGCATGTGAATTCAAATTTATTAACAAATGTTCAATATCAGGTATAAATATTAAAAAAAGAAAGTGATAAGTGTAAACATTTGTGTTAAACTGGATTAGTTGAAAATTAAAGAATATGACAATTGTTAATTGATATTGGTCATTAAAAAAATACCGTGAGATGAAAGCGTATGTTGTCATTGCACATACCACAATACATTCGATTTTGCATGAACTTGTTGGTTGACAAAAAATTCAACTAGCAACCGCAAAATCTGTATACAAACACGACGAAACATAGATATATTCCTATGAATCAAAATCTAAGTAACGATCATTTGTTTGGGTTTTCCGTGATGAACCAAATCCTATAAAATTTGTAAATTCATGAAGCACTACCAAGAAAATTATCGTTTGCTTTTAGACTTCACAGAACAATGATTTTTTGCCAAAAGTCATCGACGCAATGAAGTAAAACATTCTTAAAAGTCGCGTCATTTTTCATCATGACAACGCCACCACTAGTACGGTATCATACAATTTATTATTTAAAGGATTTATCGCCTAACGATATTTTTGTTCCCTTATATGTCAAACAAAAAAAGAGTGGGCATCTTTTTTCATCACTTCAAAAACTTTCACATTATTCATGTTAGTATCAGAATCGGGTTTGCTTTTGAAATTAACCCCAGTGCAACTTATTTTTATAAGTTATTACATTCAAGATAACTTGAACACTGCTCCGAAAATCAGTAAAATCCACATCAAAGCTATTTTTCACTTGAAAGTTGATTTCAAATAATTCACATTGAAAAGTTTGGCTTTCTACTTTTCCAACAATAAACAAAAATGAGAGAAACTCCGAAAGAAAGGAAAATAGACACTTAATGACGGAGAAACAGAAGGCAAATTCGTTTTACAGTATTTGCAACATTTGAAAATAATATTTGTTTAACTACTAGGAAGTTTCACGTTGCCTATAAACTATACTTGCGAATTTGTTGGGTAACTCTAAAAATATGTTGGATTATTGAATTGTGGTTATAGAAAGTTGATTGTTGTTTGGAAAGTGAAACTACAAAAGTTAAATTAGTTTTCCCTTTTTTCATATAATAATAATGATAACATGATTTGTTAAATATAGGAATTTGTATTAGTGTTAGTCTAAGAAAAAAAACAAAATAAAGCGAAATATGATGTAACAATAGTACTTAACGTTACACGTCCGGTATAGGTGACTTATTACAATACGAGTTGTTTATGATAAAATGGAATATAAACGAGTAATGTAATCACACCTAACGGATATGTACCGTATGATATTTGATTTTATTGTCTCCATTATATTTTATAATATTCAATATTATATAATATAGTGTACGAGACGAATCCGGAAGGCAAAATAATTTCATGTACATGAAGACGGAATGAAAAGAAGGGTTATGCATAACCGCTGACGAGTTCTGTTCTTTTCTCAAAAACGTTTCGTAGCGCCTGAATAACGTATGTCGAATGTCTGCATATGTCATATTTCAATCCGAATGAATGGGTATATTGTTGTGCGCTCCGCAGCATTAAGGAGCGCCTGTTCTCGTGTTCCTTGTGTACGTCATGAAGAAAGAGTATGAATCTGCATTGTAAACGTCACTTTGTACGATTCTATAGTTCCACGGTATCCAGAATTCATCTACTTTATTGTACTCGACTTAAGAAACTTAGTATGCGGCGGATGATGATGCATTAAGGAAGCGATCAGATTTCGATTCTGTTGTCGATGGATACTGGATACAACTGAACAATCGGTTTGTAGTTGTGCGGCGAGGAAACAGGGTTATTCAAATTGTCACGATTGACACATTGATATATTTAGGGTCCCCATTACCAAAATGAAAGAAAATGTTGAGATGAAGTGAACATTTTGATTATTTCCATCCCGTCAATTTTTTGCTTTTAGTGTTTTTTTTTTCGTTTCCGGCCATATTATAATTCTCCCCTTCCATCTGAATTCAGACTTTCTCATTCCCTCTTCATTTAATTTTTCATTTAAATTATACACAACTGAACAAATATATAAGTTGTTTGTTTTTTTTTACAAACTAATTATACGATATTAGCTCTCAACTTTTACTAAAAAATGTATTGCAAGATATAATAAAAAAGATAACATTAAGAGTTCCTGTTAGGAACAAAATGGAATCAGCTGCATTTTCTAAATTTTGAAAAAAGGAAAATTATGTTGCCTTTTCCTGAACAAAGCAACTTAAAAATATTTTTAGGGACAAGTTCTCCCATTCCTCTAATGTCTCAGCAGCTCATTGTTTCCTGGATTACTTGGACAACCTCTAATACTTCTTTTAAAGGGATCCCATGCATTTTCTGTGGGATTGACATCTTGTGATGAGGTAGGTTAGGGTCCAGAACGGCCAGAAAGGTACTCCATTCTACTGATATAGGCGTTATCCTTATACATAGAATAGTAAGTATCTCAAAGTGTACCTCTTCACATGATTACTACTGCTTCAAGTACTAAATCAACATTTCATCATTGGAAGCAAAGTTATTTTCGCACTCAACATAATGATGCCACCCTAAAACATAGTCCATTCCTCCTTAGAAAAGAACTAGCAACCCCAGGACTTTCTGGGGCTCCTAGAAAGATATTTCGATGGCGATTTGATGTGAGGTCGTTTCCGATTCCATCCGAAGAAAAGACTATTTTGCATATTCTCAAATATTCAGTTTCAGTATATAAGGTACCAGTTACGGCAGAAAATTTCTATTCTGTCTATACTTCTGGAACTTCTTAGTGTTCCTGCTATATAAACGTAGAACACGAAGTCTCTTCATTAGGTATTTTTCAAATTGAAATGCTTATACTTGTGGTTTCTATCATTTGTTATTTTAGTTCAGGATGTGAAAGTATTTCATTTCTCCTGCCCACACAAAATAGTCCTGCCAATCAGTTATGACAGTTTCAGTTGAAACGTCAATAAGAGTACTTCGACCACGCCACTGAAGATGACTGCCGCAGTTGCAGTTGAAACGTTTGGAGATTGTAACTTGAATGAAACGATAGATTGGCAAATACTGGTTTATTTTACTTCCTCTAGAAAATTTAAAGTACATAGATTTCAAATAAATATAACTGGTGATCCTCTACAACTTCCCCTTTTTCAAAATTATACACCAATAATAATTTACAATAAATTAACATATACTAATGTGAAACTAAAACTTAACCAAATTGATTTTACTTTTGCCTAACACAAAATACTCAAACACCTTCTTTTATTTACATTTTTTAATATATCATGGGGTTATATCTATGAACTGGTTTTATTATTCTTCCTCTACTACTCTGATTTTCTACAAATATAACATCATTGCTACCTTTCAAAACTTTCGGTTCTTCAACTACATATATATCATTTGTTTTTTTTAGGTAAATAATGGTATTTCATGTGGACATAATGGTTATTTCATTTGAGATTTTCTCATACATATAGAACAATTACCTATGAAGTTGGCCAAAAAATACATTCTACTGCATGATCCTACCGACTGCGCCATGTGAATGAAACGATAGCTAGGCAAATAATGGTTTATTTTACTTCCCCTAAGAACATTTAAAGTACATACATTTCATCTAAATATACCGGGTGATCTTCTACAGTAACCAAAGAAGATAATGGCAACACTCGAAAACCCACCAAAACAGTTATAACTCTTTGACAATTTTTTCTTGGTCTGTTCGTAGGAATGATAAATAATACCTTATATAAATTTTCTGAAACTACAATTTGTATCACACCTACCACAGCTGTTTCGTCTCTGTGACATTTCTAGCTCAATCAATAATTATTTCTTTTTAGGCGTATAGTTAACTACCTAAGATATTCATTAATGAATATTGTATGCCTTTTTGTCAAATCTCACAACTAGAAACAAATTCTGAAAGAAACATCAATGATCGTTCCATATAGATAATTATTCATCATCTTCTTGGTTGGTGAAACGCGCATCAAGAAGAGTGTTTGTTTTGGATTCATTCAACGCCAAAGGTTCCAGTGTTATCTTTTATTCGATATTCATTGCTTCTTTGTTTTTCAAGAAATAGTTACCCCTGTAATGAACAACATTGTTCAAAATATTTCATAGTGAATTTACAATCACAAACATCGTAAATTTTATCACCTTATCATTTGCCGATTAAATACAAATATTTTATAATTACTTATATAAATATTCACAATTCCGGATTTCGTTGACCTCATTGTGGTTTGATTTCTCCTTGTTCTGGCTTGGCAATCTATTAATGACTGTATTGAAAATTGGTTAGTGAATATGATTTCTTCGAGTAAAAAGCGTTTTCTGCATTCCTTTTCACTAAACATAGTTTATATTTGCGGGAATTTAAGAAATTTTCATTTGAAGTTCAAATATCAATAAAAGAGTTGAACTATTGTTAATAGAACAATAAAGTATATTCCCCACAGTCAAGTCTATAAGTTGTTTCTCTATTTGTGACATAATTCCCATAATTTACGGTTTTACTATACTACCAT